GGTGCTAGGAGAGAGCTCAGAAGCTCTACCTCATTTCTCACATGCCTTGCTTATGCATCGGTTCCCTGGCTGTTCATCTGTATTCTCTGTAACTCAGGTGCAGTATTCCTCATTCAAAATGCTTGGGACATAACTCTCTATCATATCAGCCTAGGAACCAATTTTCTCAAAAAGCACAAGAAGTAAAATCAAGAATTAATAAATGGGCTGCTATCAAACTAAAAAGTTTCTACACAACAAAGGAAAAAATCAAGAACATGAAGAGAGAACCTACAGAATGGGAAAAAATCTTCACCACCTGTACCTCAGATAGAGCATTAATCTCCAGGATATATAAAGAACTCAAAAAAAACAATAAAAAACACCAGATAACCTAATCAATAAATGGGCAAAAGAACTGAACAGGCACTTCATAGAAGAAGAAATACAAGAAGTCAACAAATATATGAAAAAATGTTCAACATCTCTAGCAATAGAGAAATGCAAATTAAAACTACCCTGAGATTCGATCTTACTTCAGTCAGAATGGCAATTATCAAAAAGACAAGAAACAATAAATGTTGGCAAGAATATGAGGGAAAAGGTATACACTATATTGCTGGCAGGGCTGAAAATCGTTGCAACCACTAGGGAAAGCAAAATGGAGAGTCCTCAGGAAACTTGGAATGGAACCACCATTTGACTCAGTTATCCCACTCCTCAGCATGTACCCAAAAGATGTAAAATCAACATACTATAGTGACACAGCCACATCAGTGTTTATAACAGCTCAATTCACAATAGCTAAGCTATGGAACCAACCTAGGGGCACTTTAACAGATGAACCAATAAAGAAAATGTGGTACATATCCACAATGGAATATTACTCAGCCATAAAGAAGAATGAAATTCTGTCATTTGTTGGTAAATGGATAAACTGGAGACCATCATGCTAAGTAAAATAAGCTAATCCCCAAAAAATCAAAGGCTGAATATTCTCTCTGATATGTGGATGCTGACTCACAATAGGTAGGGGCACAGGAATGGGAGGTTCACCAGACTAGACAATGTCACCCACATCCTGCTCGGGCGACAGAAGTAAGGCCACTCTGGGTGAATTGGGCTGGGAACAAAAAAACCACACAAACATGAAAATATCTTTTTCTCAATTGTGGGGGTCAGGAAGGCTCTGCAACCTCAAAGATCAGCTCCTACACTGGAAAGAGGGCAAGGGGAGCAAGAGAGGCAAGGAAGAGAGTGAGCACACCTGAACCCCCCCACCCCATTTATTGGAGAAAAGCTATTCATTGAATATTCCACCCAAATAAGGCAAGAGATTGGGTTTCAAAGGGTGGCATCTTGCTTAGCAATGTCTTGTGGTCAGAAGGTTGACTGACATCTTGGAAAGCCACACCCATCTCAGGTGCTGTGTGGGATCACAGGTAAAGGAGAAAAAAGCACACATGTGACGCACAGCCCAATCAGGCAGCAACATCAGGTCAGTCCCCTCATACCACTCAAATGCACATAGCTCAAACACAGAGCCCATGGATAGCTCGCAACAGGACAGGACAGAGTCAGGGGAAGGGAGTGGTATGGGAATGGGAAAGACAAGAGAATGAATCAGACATAACTTTCCTATGTTCATATATAAATACATGACCAGTGTAACTCCACATTATGTATAACCACAAAAAAATTGGAAGCTATACTCCATGTATGTATGTCAAAATACATTCTACTGTCATATAACTAAAAAGAATTTTAAAATTTTTTAAAAAGACAAGTTGCAGATTGGCAGATAATACTTGCATAACAAATATTTCATGAAGAACCTGTACCTATTATCTGTTGCTATAACAAAACCCCTGAGGTTAAAAATGTATAAAGGAATGAGATTTATCTAGTTCATAGTTTTGGAGACTGAAAGTCCAAGATTGGATGGCCCCATATGTTCAACATCTGTGTGGGGCAGATGGCATCACAATAGAAGAAATGCTTTTAGAAAGATCACACAGCAAGAGAGAAAGCCAGAGAGATCTGGGGTCAGGCTCACTCTTTTGTATAACAATCTGACTCTCTGAGGAACTGTGAGATCTGCATTAATCTCTTCCAAGCGTGGTGTCCCCAGTGATCTAAACACCTTCCATAGGTCCTACCTCTTAAAGTCCTGACTATCTCCTTATATCATGATACTGGAGATCAAGTTCCAACACATGAACCTTCAAAAATACACTCAAATTAAATCCAAACCAAAGAATATTCAAAATATATAAAGAACTCTAAAAACTCCATATTAAAAAAATTTAGTTACAAAATGAAATAAAGATCAGATACTAAAGAGGATATACTGGCAAATAAGTCTATGAAAAGGTCCTCAATGTTAAATATCATTAGGGAATTGCAAATTAAGACACAATACCAATACACACCTATTAAATGGCAAAAAGTCCTGGCTGGTGGGTATCAATTATTTTGTGTGGGGGGATGGCAGTTTCTTAGAAAGCTAAACATAGGCTTACTATACAATCCAGCAATTATACTCCTAGGTTATTTACTCATATGAGTTGAAATCATATGCCCACACAAAAACGTACACACACATATTTATAGTAGCTTTATTCATAATTTCCAATAATTGTTATCAACCAAGATATCTTTTAATAGATAAGTGCATGAAAAAACTGTGGTACATACAATGCAGTATTTTTCAGGAATAAAAAGATATGAACTATCAAGCAATGAAAAGACATGAAGGAACTTTGAATGCATATGCTAAGTGGAAGAAAAGCAGTCCAAAAAGGGTACATACTGTATTACTCCAACTATAACAAAACTATAAATATTCTCTAAAAACAGTGTTTGCCAGGGACTAGAGGGACAGGCAGAAGCTTTGAGTATGCAGACCACAGTGCCTCTTTAGGGCAGTGAAACTATTGTTTCTGACCCTGTAAAGTAGATAGATGGCATTATGTAGCACATTCATACATAGTTGGTGGGACTCTTAATTGTGAACCCACTCTGGAAAGAAGTATGGAGATTCTTCAAAAGAATAGGAATAGAACTAACATATAACCCATCTATACCACTCTTTGGTATTTATCCAAAAGAACTAAAATCATGCTGTAGTGATACAGCCACTACAGCATATTATAGTAATAGCAGCACAACTCACAATAGCCAAGTTATGAAACCAGCCTAGACCTGTCAACATATGAATGGATAAAGAGAATGTAGTATATATACAAAATGGAGTTTTATTCAGCCATAAAGAATAAAATTATAGTATTTGCCGGTAAATGGACAGAAGTGGAAATAACCATGATGAATGAAATAAGCCAGACTCAGAAATAAAGGATTGAATATTTTCTCTCATGTGCAAAAACAGAGCAAAATATGGGGTGGGGGGAGATGGGGAATCCCATGAAAACAGAAGGGAGATCAGTGGAGCAGAGGAAAGGGATTGAGGGAAAGGGATGAGGGATGGGGAAGGGAGAAATGGTGGAATGAAATTGAATAAATAATGCTGTGTACATATATGAATATACCAAAGTGAATTTCATTTCATGTATATTTATAAAGAACTACTTTAAAAAACTATAAGTAAATAGAAGGAAAACCAGTAGAGTACAAAAAGGAGGCCAGGGGAAATGGGGAATGGAAAAAGTTAGGTAAAGGAGAAGTCCTGGAAAATTAATTGGAGCAAATTAGTCCACACATGTATTATTATGTCAAAATGAATTTCAATATTATAAATAACTATAGTGCACTAATAAAAACATTAAAAAAGAGAACTGTATAGAACCATAAGTGAAGTCTAATATAAACTATGGACTTTAAATGGTGAATCAATACTGGTTTATCAAATGTCAAAAACATACCATTCTAATGCAATAATATTAATACAACCAGAGAAGTGAAAAATTGTGCTCCATTTGTGTACAATGAATCGAAGACCATTCTTCTGTCATGTATAACTGATTAGAATAAAAATAAAGATAATATTAATATAAGAAATTGGGAGTGGAGAGGAGTAAATGGGAACTCTGTTTTCTGCACAATTTTCTTTCTTTCTTTGCAGTAATGGGTATTGAACTCAGGGGTGCTCTCTACCAGGAGCTGAGATATGGTCTCACTAAGTTGCCCATGCTGGCCTTGTTGCTATTCCACCTGCCTCAGCTGGCTCTGCACAATTTTTCTATAAACTAAAAACTGCTCTAAACTATTAAAATATCTAAAAAAAATATTTTTAACTATGAACAATCATGCTTTTATTATTAGTTACTGGTAAATAAAGTTCTCTATGGAAGACAGTTTTAAAGATAGCAATATTTACCAACTGAAGATCTATCATCTATAATTTTTAAAAAACTTTTGCATGAGAAATTTCCTAAAATGTGTGTTTACTTCTCTGGTTTACATAAAAGAATCGTTTAAATATAATTTGACCTTTTTAATTTGGACTAATACCTATTACTATTCTGTCAGGGATTATTGGGATTGTAAGGCCACTATATGATATACTGATTAGTAATTCTTCACTCTTCTGTTTTTAGCTGCAAATTTTTAGCCCTACAGTTTTTAGCAGTCACTCATGTGGTAATTCCCAGAACTTAAGCTGAAATTCAGGTCTCTAGATAAAATTAAATGACCTGTCTTATTAAAAAACTTTTTATGTTAAACACAATTTTGGATTAAAAGGCCTTTCTATGAAAGTGTCCACTTAATTATTGTAGTATATGGGCAATAACATGAAAATGAGCAACCATATGTGGTAACTATTTCCTTCTTCGGTCAGAGGGCATTTATTTATCATGTCCAGTTTTATGGCAGTATTGAGAGAAAAGGAAGTCTGTATTGCCAAGTAAAGGCAGACACTTTCACCTAAATTACATGGGGTATATTTTTAGTATTCCTATTACATAGTCATATATTTTCTTCTTCAAAGGATTCTTTTCATTCTCTAAACTTTCTTGATTTCCTCTTTGCAATTCCAACACCTCCGCATCTTTTTGTCTTACCTCCTGAATTTTAAGGTTCATTTTACGTTTTGTGGTCTTCAGTTCCTCTTCAATAATAGCTGCAGTATCCTAAAAAATAGGAAAAAAGGTTTTAAATAATCTAAAATGACAGGAATGATTTTCTCTATGGATTATCAGTTCAAATCAAGGCATTTCCCCAACATTAAAAATAAAAACTATCTTTAATATGCTTATAAATATTCCTTATAAGTCTGAAGTAATTATTACATAAGATTTTATTACTTTGATTCACAGTGTCTATAATTTCACCTTTTAGATCATAAATAGTGATTAATAACACCCACCTCTCATGTAAAATTCAACAGAGGACAAGCTGGAAAATAATAGATATTTTTCTTATAGGGGAAATTGTCTAAGAATGATTTCGTCTAGCTTTAAATATTGTTCATGCTTAGGTGTTGAGGATAAAAAACATAGCTTCCATTACTTATTCTCTTCTTTATTATTAATGTTAGTGGCACCACAATCCTAGATGTAAAATCTCAGACTCATTTTTGTCTTCTTTCCTACCTTATATCTCTATCTAATACCATATTTTTACAATATCTTTCTTCACAATGTATCTCTCACCTCTTTCCTTTCAAAATGCCACAACCCCCAGACTTAATTTTTCTCAAGCCAAATAATGCAATAGATTCCTAATTGGTATCCCTGCCTCTGATCTCCTTTCTCCAAAATCAATACTGTATAATACCCCCAAATTAGCTTTTCCTATTTTTCATTGTGATTTCTTAAACCCTTCCCACAGGCTCAGCCCAACTATTGATTATTCTATATGTTGATGATATTATTCTTGATATTCTCTACAATGTGTTCCCTAGCTAATGCCCAACTTATTTCCCACAAATTCTCATCCCTGTCAGGCTAGTTTATATATTTCACCCTAACTGCACCTGGAAGAAAGATGTAGGTTCAAACATGGGCTTCAGGAAGAAGATGAGCATGTGGTAATCTTGGACAAGTGACTTCTCCCTGAGTCCCAATAGTCTTATTGTTAAAAATAAAAATAGGAATAGTAATATCCTACTTCATAAGGCCTTGCAAAATAGTATCTTGAATATCTATTATACTGCTTGGTCCCTGGAAAGAAAACAATACTCTTTTCCCAGTTTCTTTTCCCAGCAGACCCTACTCTTTGCTGTCTCTGTGTGCGTTCTTGGAAATGTTCTTATCCCTCCACTTTGCCTTCTCAAGGTTCAGCTTCAGTCCTAGCTCTTTCCTGAAGCCTACCTAATCTCATTAGATAAGGGATTTCTCACTTCTCAAATACACTGAATACAAAGGCCTTACACTGCAATATTCATTTATTGTCTTAGACTGTTCTAGCATTTCCTACATTTATTTTTCACTATTTATCATTATATGCCTTGTTCTCCCAACTAGCATACAAGCTCTTGAAGAGCACACACTACCTCATACCTCTGGATGCTGTGTATTGTACAGGGTAAGGACTCTATTTAAAAAAAAAAAATCAGGCTAGGGTGGAACGTTTATTTTGGCTCAGTGGTTGAGTGCTTGCCTAGTACATGTGAGGCACTGGGTTCAATCCCCAGCATCACATAAAAATAAACAAAATAAAGCTATTTAAAACAATGATACCATTTTTTTTAAAACAAACAAACAAACAAAAAAAAAAACCACTGATAGCACACAGTGATTTTAGTTATCAATGCACGTAAATGTCAAATGCTAAGAATCCTCACATCAACACAAACTATTTGTTTGGAATTGGGGATTGAAGCCAGGGGCACTTTATCATTGGGCTACATCCCCAGCCATTTTTATTTTTCACTATGAGACAGTTTCTCACTGTTTCTGAGGCTGACCTCAAACTTGTGATCCTCCTGCCTCTGCCTCCAGAGTTGCTGAGATTATAGGAATGCACCGCCATGACTAGAAACAGCTACTACTTTTAAAATCAGTTTTATGGGTCTGCTATTTCCTCTAGCTAATATACAAGAGTGAGTTTATACTTCAGAACTCTGGACTCAAACCTTTGTCTCTGAGGCAACTTTCACAGGAGCAGTCAAACTCTGCACTTCATCTTGTGCCTTGTCTTCTTCCTCTCTTACATCTTTCAGTTGTTGGCGCAAGTTCATCACTTCAAGATGCAACAGCTTCAGGTCCTTGGAATGTTCCTCCTGAATTGTGTTCAATCGATCCTTGAGAAAAGCTACCAGGCAGCACAAGAGGGGCATCAACAGTAGAAAGAAGGTCAGCCAAGGAAAAGAATCATAAACACATCAAGTACCCAACAGGATCAAATTTCTGATGATTCTCTTCCATATACCTGTTTTCTGTGGATTCAAATCCTTTTCAGTTTGCATGTGAAAGATATTCATCTTCAAGGATTGAATGAGACTTTCCAGATGGCACATTCGATTTACCAGAAACTCACAGTTCTTCCATAAAAAATCTGTTTTTCCTGAACAAATTACTTCATTCTTGATAGGACCAAAGAGTTTCTGGCTGGAAGGCTCTTCTAAACCCTTTGGAGGTTCCAAATGGCCTCTGGACAAAGATCCAATACAACAATATTATGCAACGTTATTTGTAGTATGTTAATCCCAACCATTGAGTCAATGTAATCTTCCTAATAAGTAGAGAGTGACATCAGCAACACAGCAGAATAGGAAGCTCTTAACTCTCCCTCCACCTATGAAGGCACTAAATAAACATCTATACACACATTAATTACCTGTAACAGAAAGTCAGAAATGAGTTGAGAGATTCTTATAAATAAGTCTGAAAAAATATCCACATCAAATGAATAGGAAAAACTGAAGCACATTTGGGCACAAATGCCACCTGGGGAACTGCATGCTATAGTCAGGAAGGATTCCCCAACCCTAGCTTCTCCCTGATGGGACAGGATTTAGACTACACTTATAGCACTTTAACTCTAAGGCTCCCCATGATGTAGCTCTTAATTCACCTAGCTCTAAGAGCAGCTGGGATTAAGTATATATATATATCTCCAGACCACAGAACAAAGTGGAGACATTATATGGGTATGTGCACACTTCCAGGGATTATACATCTTCCAGATATATATATCTCCCTGGATCACAGAATGAAGTAGAAGTTTTTATGGGCATGCACAAAATTCCACGGCTTAATCCCTCAGGATCAAAGCAAAGAAAGGGACTAAAACTTAAAAGCTCCCAGTTTCTCTGTGAAAGGAATGTGCTAGAATACTCTGCCACTCTGTACTCTGATTAAAGACTGAAGATAACACAAATAAATGGAAAGATATCCTGGATTCATGATTAGAAGAATTAATATTGTTAAAATATCTACACTATCCAAAGCAATCTACTTAATCAATGAAATCCCTATTAAAATCCCAATGACATTTTTCACAGAAATAGAAAAAAACCCTTGAATTCATATGGAACAACAAAAGATATATATATATATATATATATATATATATATAACTAAATCAATCTTGAGAACAAAGCCGAAGACATCACACTACCTGATTTCAAACTACATAACAAAGTTGCAGGGTACTAGCATAAAAAGACACATCAAATAGGATGGCCCGGAAATAAACCCACACATTTATGGTACGTGGATTTTTGACAAAGGTACCCAGAATACCCAATGGCAAAACAATAATCTTTTTGAAAAAAAAATGGACTAGGGAAACTAGCTTTCCACACACAGAAAAATGAAATTAGACCCTTGATTCACACCATGTGCAAAAAATTTGATTAAAGACTTCAACATAGACTTGAAACTAAAACTACTAGAAGAAAATACAGGGGAAATCTCTGGTTTTGGTCTTGGCAATGGTTTCTTGGATGTGATTCCCACAGTACAGGAAGCCAAAACATGAAGAAACAGTCCACACTGGAAAAAACATTTGCAAATCATAATCTGATAAGGGCCTAATATACAAAATACATGAAGAACTCAAACAACTCACCAGAAAGAAAATAAATAATTTGGTTAAAAAATGGACAAAGAACATGTATAGACATTTCTCCAAAGATGACATTCAAATGGCCAATAGGGATATGAAAAAATACTCATCCTTACTTGTCATCAAGTAAATGCAAATTAAAACCAGTGAGATATCATCTCACACTTGTTAGAATGGCTATTATCAAAAAGATGAAAGAAAACTATATTGATGAAGATGTGGAGAAAACTGTCAAAATTGTTAGTGAAATCTATATATTTGTAAATCAATTTTCTAAAACAGTTCCTCAAAAAAACTAAAAATAGCATTAACATATGATTCAGCAATTCCACTTTGGGTATTTATCCAAAGGAATTGGAATCAGTATGTTAAAAAGCTATCTGAACTCCCAGGTTCGCTGCAGCATTTTTCACAATAGCCAAGATATGGAAACAACCTGAGAACCCATCAACAAATGAAGGGATAAAGAAAATATGAAACATACACAGTACAGAATATTATTCAGTCATTAAAAAAGGATGAAATTCTATCATTTGTGATGTAATGAATGAATCCTGAGGACATTATGCTAAGTGAAGTTAAGCTAGGTACAGAAGAAATATAATCTCACATCTTAAATTTTTAAAAGCCAACTCATAGCAGTGTTGAATAGTGATTATTAGTGGCTGGGGTTGGGGATACAGACAAGGAATAAGGAGATGTTAGTCACAGGGTATAAAGTTTTAATCAGATAGGAGGAATATGTTGTTTTTGCAATGCTTGGGATTGAATCCAAAGTTCATGCATGCTAGGCAAGTGCTCTATCACTGAACTAAATTTCTAGCCCATAGGTCTAATTGTTTTTCTTTTTCCTTTTATTTTTTTGTTGTTGAGGGATTAGAGGAACAAGTTCTGATAATCAATTGTACAGCATTGGTGACTGTAGTTACTAATTATGTCTTTTCTTTATCAAAATGGATAAAAGAGGGCTGGGGTTGTGGCTCAGTGGTGAGCGCTTGCCCAGCATGTGTGAGGCCCTAGGTTCGATCCTCAGCACCACATAAAAATAAATAAAGATATTGTGTCCAACTACAACTAAAAAATAAATATTTAAAAAAATAAACCAACAAAATGTATA